CAGGGTCACTGCCTGGTAGCACACGCTGCAGGCCGTTAACCCCAGCCCATCTCTTGAGGGCTCTCCTTCCAATGTGAAATATAGCTGCAAGTCCACTGTGGCCAGGTGACCAATCAGGGCAGAGCTAGGCTGAGACAGGGTCTGACTTGCATTCCTGCAACTATTTAAAACAAGTGGTCACTTGGCCACTTCTCTACTCCCAAACAGGGCTTGTTAGTCCTGATTCTCTGCCCTGCTTTGGGCAGGCAGAATAACCTGTACTTGTGCCTGGAGAAATGGGCTCTGTCCTCCACTATCTAGGTAAGAGAGCCACGTGGAGTTTCCAGAACTCCCCTTGGTGGAAGCTAATGGGATCTACCAGGAGGGTGGGTTCCAGGGAGGTGAGGGAGGGGCTCCTACCTGACCCTTGGTCCCACCTGGCCTTACTCGAGGGGAATGTTGCTCCTGCACTCAGAGGCCTCTTTGTAACGGGGCTCCACATCTCCAGGTAGAAATTTCCCCCAGGCCCTGGACGGCCTCTGCTGCCAGGAGCCTGTGGCCACAGCCGCCTGAGGAGCTTGAGTGCCCAAGGAGCAGTGAGGTGCCCCCCAGCACCTGCCGTCAGCCACGACCCAAAGCCATGTGGGCCCTCTCTTGCTCCAGCCTAGCGCTGTCAGCCTCCACTGTCAGCCTCCTCTTCTCAGGTCTAGGTTTTAAATCTCATGATCGTTGTCTTTCAGACTTTCTTTTGGATTCTTGCAGAGTTCTCTGAGACTTCACTTGTGGAATAGAACCAAGCTGAAACTCTTAAACTTCCACTTATTGAATCATTTATTTGCATGTTAAAATCTTCTGTTTAGAAAACCTGACTTACCTGTGTGTCTTGCTGAATGGGACTTGGGGTGCATGTGGGCAGGCCCAGAGGGAGGGAGGCTGCGTCTGCACCCAGTGCACGTCTTGCCAGCTGACCGGAGGTTTCAGTGAGGACACTGCCTCTTCTGCTTGTGGCGGTGCAGGACAGACAGGGCAGCCTGGCGTCTGAGTAGGGGCCCAGGGAAACGGGGCAGGAATCACGCTGGCCTCTGGGGCCTTGTGTTCCCCACAAGGAATAGACAGTCCTGAGGCCTGAGTGTGCCAGTGTATCAGGGACAGCAGTGAGCAGCGAGGTGGGGCTGCAGCATGTTCAAGGTCTTGTACAGGTTAGTGGAAGGACCGTGGTTTTCTCGTCTTTGAAATGAGAAGCCAGTGAGGGTTTTGATCAGAGAGCTGAGTGACAGAGTCTAGCAGGTTTTAAAGGACCCGGCAACTTGGGCTCTCGCTGCAGACACGGTGCAGGGTCAGATGGCGGGCCCCTCAGCCCACACCCTCGGCTTCCGCTCATGACGCGCTGTGCAGCAGGCCTCCTGTCCACCCACTCTAATTAAGGCTCAGGCTGGAAGACATCTGCGTGTGGGCCCCTGGGGAGAGTCGGAAGCACCAGGAGTCCGTGTGTCCGTGGAATCTTGTGTTACTATGCGTCACGACAGACCAGCGAGAGACCAGCAGGCGCCATCCTGGGCTGATGCTCAGAGAACCTGGGCAAGCTCTGTGCAGCATTAGCTGCGTCATCTGCCGCGAGACTCGGCCACAGTGTGGGTGACATCTTGCCTCAGGTCACGGGTTGGTTCTGCAGTTGACACTTGTGTTCCAACATCCTCTCCCAGAGATCAGGACCCCGATCTGCGCTGGCCTTCCTAGTTGGCTGGAGGAGACGGGGACTCAGTCTTCTCTCCCAGGTCGAAGAGTGGAAAGGTGGCAGCCAAGAGCCTCCTCCAGACACCTCCAGTGGCAGGGAGCTGGCAGCCAGGGGAGAGTGCTGCAGGGGTGGGAGGGGACGTGCCCAGGGACACAGGTCCAGTCCTGAGGGCAGCCCACGACCTGGGAACAGGCAGGCCTGTCCTCTGGGGCAGGGCTAGTGGGGCGTGGGGCTCTGTTCTGCGGGAAGATGGGCGTGATGAGACACATTCCTTGGAATTTATTCATGGAAACACATTCCATTCCACTTTTAGCCTACATTTCATTTTCTAAAAAAGCAGAGTTTTTTATCTTCTGAAAAGGATATGCAGATATAACAGGGCACTGAAGTAGACGTTCCACTCAGGAAACCCGGGGTTGGGGTTTCCTGTACCTGTAGTGAAACTCCAGGTTGAGGTACAGACGATACAAAGAAGGAGGAAGCAGACGCCCTCCAAGACTCTGGAGCCCCTGGCCAGGTCCAGGTAGCCAAGGGCACAGGCATGGCAAGGAGGGCCGGCATCCCAAGGAGGAAAGCGAGGTGCCAGGGAGCATGTGTGGGTGCAGTCCAGCCCCCAGCTCTTCACCTCAAGCCACGTGGAGGGACAACTTACCTGGGTGCCTGCCGGAGGATGGGTGGGAGGTCAGAGAGGACTGGGTCTGAGACCTCTCAGGAAATCCGGAGGGCAAGGAGGCCGATGAACCATTTTGGCAAAAAAGCTGGAAGTTTGCTGCCATACTCCCTGGGACCACAGCGGGGGGGCAGGGAGCTGGATGGAAACCTCCCTCAGAGTGAGGCCCCTTTGGGTGACCTCAGGTAGCTGTGGCGCTGTTCCTACATGTGAGCAGAATGTCACAGGACTGGCCCAGGCTTCGTTCCTTGCAGTGGAAAAGCTCTCGCTGTGTAAGAGGTGCAGGAGACCAGAGGGGAGAGGCCCCTGAGGACCTGCCCCGGGAAAGCCAGCTGGACCTGGTCACAGGGAGCGCTTGAATTCTGTGACAACAGGGGCCCACGGGGCAGTGTCAATGAGTGAGGTGCTAGGACTCCGCCATCACCCTCAGACGTCCAAACCAGAACAGAAGGCGCGCCCGAGGTCCCCAGGTCCCTCGCCATGGCTGATCGGGTCTAGCACAGGGCTCGGGTTGGCCAGCCCAGCAGAGAGCAGCCCGGCCCGGGGAGAGAAGGCCTTGGCCTCAAGGAACAAGATGCAGAAATGGCTCTGGGGAAACAGGTTGAAATGAGGGGCCTGGTGCAGGCGAGACGAGAGGCTGCAGTATCTGGGGCACAAACAGAAACCAGTCTATACTAAAAAAAATGCTAATTAATCCCCAGCTCGTCTCCAGCCTAAGGAAACAGCAGCCTGGCCCTCGATCGCTAGCCCCGGGTGTGCCAGCGTGTCTGAGGAACTGTGGGAGCAGCTCCTTCTGCCCAGGGAGCCAGCAGCTCCCCTTTCCTCCTGGTCGAGCTGCTGCTTTGCATGTCCCCACCTGAGGTCCGTGCTGTAGGTCTCAGTGCTTTCTAAAGGTCTCTGCAGAAGCCCCATTGCTCTCGCACTCTCTCGCCTCGATGCTCCCCGGTCCTGCGCCGGCTTTGCCCTGGTGGGTGTGCACACCTTAGCTGAAGAGTCTGACCTGCAGCTGGGATTCACTTTCCATCGATGCACTTCTGGTTTCCTCCGAGCAAGGGGGAGAAAGAATAGGCCCCGCTGTCCACCAGGTGTCTGGGTTGCTGCTGCACACAGATACACTGCTCAGTGCCCCGGGTGGACGACGCTCAGCCAGGGTCGACCGTCACCCGTGTCTATTCAGAGCCTCTGCTGCTTTCTGCAGCCTGGGGTCCTTGTGTCTATTGATGCCCTAACCACCTACTGTCCTTGAGACCTGACCTGCAGGCCCTGGCAGGTGGCCTCTGGCCAGAGACCCCAGCATCAGACCCCAGGGACAGACGATGTCACCCCCTCTTCCCGCACAGCTGTGGGTGGCAGCTACACTCGTCCTTGTGGCCCCGGAGCTTTGTCTCTCAGTTTAGAAAAGTCCCTGTTTGGGGGTCAAGATGGAAAACAGTCTTTCCTGATCGGCCTTCCGGACTTGTCACAGGGAGCCCAGCGGCCCTATGGTGTCTTCTGCAGGGTGGGGACCTGCCTGCCGACCCTGAGCTCTGGAAGAGTCTCTGAAGAGTTTGGCATCCACAGAGTTTCTATTAAATAAGTCTATGATGCCAACACTAAAGAATAAGGAATATAGACCAAGCCCTTAAAAGTCACCCGACCACCTGTGAAGAGGATTTGGGACAAGTTCTGGATTAAGACACGAAGGTCAAAGGAAACAAGTTTCTGATAGGACTCGACCACTAAGGAAAGTTTTAAGGACTCTAGAGAGAGAACACGTGTCACTTTGACCCACGGTTTCTGAAAGCTGAACCCACTGCCAGCAGGGCCTTTGGTGCAGGGGACGTGGGCTTGCTGCAGGGAGTCTCCTGTGGCCAAGCTGTGAGACAGTCCTGTGGCAGCCAGCAGGCAGGGCCCTAGGAACGCAGCAGGAGAGGCGGGCACCCGGGGCTGAGTGCACTCCCCTTGAGCATTGGCAGGACACCAGCGAGCAGGGACTGGGGCCAGGACTCACTCTCTAGGATGTAGGGTTGGGGTGCCCGGAAGGAAGGGAGGGTCAGAGGAGCCAGCAGAGCAGCTCTCTGCAGGGAAATGAGGACCAGGTGACCCTCCCCCAGGACAGCATGGGGGTGGGAGGGCCGGCCCTGGGGCACCAGCACGCCCACTCTGCAGGGGAGCTCTTGCCTATATTTTCCCTGCTCAGCGACCACCGACCACCGTGGGGCAACAGGTTCAAAGTTACCAGGAAACAAAGTGAAAGGCCTGGTGGCTTACGGCCCACCTGCAGGGTTTCCAACAGGTTTGTTTATTTTGTACCAGGAGAACAGGCATGGAATGTGGACATGGACACGTGGAGGGGGCCGAGGGGGCCCTGCCACAGGGCTGGGCCCGGGAAAGACCCAACTGTGGGATCGGAGAGGGAGGGCAGGCCCCGGGCCACGAGAGCACGTGCAGGCCACGGGGCACACAGAGTTCAAAGGGCAGGCAGCTGAGACTGCCGGACCCAGGATGGACACTGCCTATAGGGCCGGCTGGCTGGCAGGGCTTGGTGGTGGTGCTGGGTGCTCTGGAACCGTGGTCGGCGGAAACTGAAACACACGAGGCTATTAACACTGTAATTAATGCTGTCCTTGCTCCTAGGCCAGTGGGCGCGCCCTTTCTCTCCCGGGAAGACCGGCCCCACCTGCCCTGTCCACAGCACCTCCTTGGCCACAGCAGTCTGCTTTCAGTTACCCTTGCAAGCCACCCAACGGGCTGCAGAGAGCAGGCAGGAGACCAACACCTTGGGAGGCCGCGGCCCAGTCTCCTCTGGGGCTAGTCGATGATGCCTTCAGGCCCAGGAACATCCAGGAGTCCGTGGTGGCCCACGTGGTCTCAGCAGCCCGGAGGAAGGTGCTTCCTGGGTCCCCAGAGGGCTGGAGAGAGAGGCTGCCGCACACCCAGCCAGCTCACATGGTTGCGTCTGGGAGACAGGAGCACCCGGTTGCCGCCCTCGCCAGTAGCAGCATGTCCACCAGCTCCTGGTATGGCCCTCAGTCGCCATATGCATGTCGTGGGCAGGCATCCAGGGATGACTTCGAGATACAGTCCCTGGAGACCAGGTCTGACTACTGCCTACCAGCAGCCGGCTGCAACTACAACCCGCAGCCGCGGGCATGGAGACGGCAGTGGAAGTAGAGGACCCACAGCGGCAGCCATCACCCTGTGGCAGGCACGTGGGCGCCTCTGCTGTCCTGCAGGGTGGGCTCTCTCCCAACCCCATTGGATCCTGTGGCCTTTCCTGAGCTGGTGCCTGACTGGGTACTCACAGTGTGTCTCACTTCACTGCCGACACATGGAGCATGTCGTGGAAGAAAAAGTAGATTTTGCACTGATGTTCTGGGACTCACATGTCACTCAAAATCTTAATTCTGTTGACAAGGGGCAGTCTCTGCACACCACCTGCCCAGAGAAGGGGCAATAAGGGCTGTCCTCCAAGTGCCTTAGTCCAGGAAGAAACTGGCAACACGTGTGCTAATCACTAGCTGCAGTAGAAGAGGCACTTGGGGGGATCTTACAAAAAGATGCAAATGAGCAAGGATTGCATACTAGAGGATCTCCTTGGTATCCTCGATATGTCCCTAGTCTTTCTCTGAAACATTTTTAAGTCTAACAAAATTCACACTTTATAGAAGACTGACACATAAGAGTTCGCAGAGGCACATAAGAACAAGACTTTGCACGTTTCAGGTGAGCTTTTAAAGTGAAGGGTGTAACGGGTGGAAAACAGAAGGACTTGGAGGTAGACTGGTCCTCACCTGTTTGAACCTGGAAACTGGACACAGGAATGGACCCCCGGTTCAGTTGTCCTCAAGGGTCAGATGGGAGGGCTATGGTCTGCTCTGAGGTCCCCACTGGCTCTGATGCCAGAGAGTCTCCCCCAGCAGAGCACCTGTGATGCATGGCTGGGTTCAGGAGCAGGATGGGCAGGAAGGCAATCGAGGTCACTGAGGGGTCCTCCGGGTCCCAGCAGGAGTCTCCAGCAGTGGGTTTGTGTCACGTGTGAGGTGGAAGGAGGGCTGATGTGCAGAAGGAAACCGTGAGTGGGCACCAGGATGTGCAGAGGAACGTGCTGACGTGCAGCAGAGGGGACAGCTACTGGGTGACAGAGAATGGGCTATGGAAGGCACAGAGCGGTGCTTCTCTGGGAAATGGCCACTGGACGTTCAGAGGTAGTGAGAGAGCTGAGGCCAGAGCCTCGTTAGCACACAGGGTGTGGATCCCGTGCTTCTCCTCATGGCCATGAGCACCAGGTGTCCCCCACGGTGAGGTCCAGCCCTCTATGGCCTTAGCAAGTGTCCAGTCACTGAAAGTCTGAAACCTTGAGGGTTCACACCTGTGGCGAGCTTGCTTGTGGTACTTTCAACTCCCGAGCCCTCTGCCTGCTGGCTTCTTGTCACGTGAAAGTATGTTCCACAGACAGGAGCTGACTAAAAGTGCCAGGGCACAAATGATCCCCACCTGGAAGCAGGAAGAGAAGTTGAGGAATCAGCAGGCTCCATCATGGGTGAGAGTAGCCAGAGGCTGCTCTGTCCAGTTAGGCAGAACAAAAACGATGCTAACTTTCCAAAGTTTTATTGTCAAATTATCTTAAATTGATAAAGAGCTGATTCTCTCAAAGTATAAGACATAATTATTGGCTCCAAAGAGTTTTTACAGAATCCTAAAAAGCAATGTCTGGTGTATGTGTTAGTATGTTGGCAAGTTCTCTAGAACACGTGATGCTCACTTGGTTTGAAATTTGCTATGGTGGATGAATCTCCTGGCATAGACAGTCTTAGGAGGTGAGGGACTTACCTCACTTGTTAGGTCAGGTTCTGTTTGTCTGCTTCTTCCAGAAGTGCTCATGTTATGTCCACTAGGTGCACACATGATGCTCACTGCTAGACTCGCTGCAGGGTGAGGGAGGCACAGGCCCCACACAGACCTGCCGAGGTGCACGTCACCTGGCAGACAGAGGCAGGGGTCACGCAGGTCTCTCTGACGTCCCGAGGCCACTCTGCGGGACCACTGTCTCCGTCTCACAGAAGCTCCCGGGACTGAGAAGCAGGACTGAAGCAACGCCTGCCCCACCGAGGTCCGATTCTCCCGGCACAGATTAGGTCATTGTTTCTCACAAAACTGGAATGAGCTGGCTCCGAACAAGGGCACCAAGGAGAAAACCACAGCCCGGGACACAGACCACGGTGGGCTCCCCGCAAGCAGCCATCACGGGGGAGAGGCGTGTTCTGTGCACCTGCATACCTTCTTGGGACATCACGACGTCATCCCAGGGCCACTCGTCCAGCACTGGCTCGACCCTGTGTCTGAGCGTGAGTCCCCGTGTGTGCGCAGCATCTGGCACGATGGTTTAGATCTGCCGACAACTCAGAGTTGGTACCTGCATGGCTGGCCTCCTGCCGTCCACCTCAGATGGGTCTCGTGCTCGGCCACAACCCATGAGAGGGAAGAGTCACCATGTCAGGACTGACAGGTGCTCACAGCCTGAGCTTCAGACAGACGCTCATCACGTGGGCTTAGTTATGATGAGCAGAACGGTAGGGACGTTGCTTTTTTAAGAAAAAGTAGATTTCCACACTAGATTTCTATTCAAAGTAGAAGTAATGACACTATTCACACTTTTCTATTAAAAATTAAAGATGTGATGTTCTGCTAATAAGAGTGTTCACCCCAAAATGCTGTATTTAAAAGATGCACACTGAAAATCAAAGTCAGCAATAAACACAACTTGAAAATGAAGACAAAGGGTCTCCTCTTTCCTCACAGAACCACTTGGGTCACTGTTTACTCCAGCGTTTACGCCCAGCTGTGGCGCATTTCTGAGGCTCCTGCTGCACACCCACCTCTGGACTGGGCAGCTGAGGAGTGCTGCACCCTGCAGGGTGAGGAGCCTTTATGCAGACAGGGCCACAGGCAAGGACACTGCAGCGTCCTGCAGGGGAGACAGGAGCCTTTCCAGGCAGGCGGCATGGGGCCAGTGGGGGTCACCAGAGGCAGCCTGGGGGAGGTGGGTCCCGCTGAGCAGCCCAGCAGGCTCAGGCTGCAGACAGCCAGAGTGGTGGACTGCTTTGGGGGTGGAGGCTAATGAGAGATCTGGCTGGACATTCAGGTGGGGAGGTGCAGGAGCCCCCTGCAGCTGGACGGAGCACAGAGTCCTCGTCACTGTCACACTGAAAGCTCCTTTACAAACTCACCTGCAAAGGTCCTCAGTGCCGTGTGCCAGATGGGGAGGCTGGTCCCCACACACTTGGATGCTACTCTTGACTGAGTCCTTGCTGACCAGCATCCTGCAGCAGTTCTGGACCTGGCCCCTGCAGAGCCCTGACTGCTGGGCACCCATAGCCAAACTAGCCCCCAGGTCCTTTTGGCGTTTGCCCGCTGGGCTGGCTCAGCTGACCTCAGTCAAACTGAAGCCCTGTTTCAAGTGAACTCTTTAAACTTTGGCTCTTTCTACACGACATGAAAACCATCTGCTGGAATGTGGGCTCCCTGGTCAGTCCCTGACCTGCTGCAAGATTTTAAGACCTTTTAATTTAATTTATTTTTTTGGTAAATTTAAGTAAAATGGCTATTTTCAGCATTCTGATAAAAAAATATTTTTAAAGGGCCAGCATTTGAAAACAAACTTCAAGAAACTTCAAGAAGTTATAAAGATTTAAATGGCTTAAGCGATCCTAGCAGGGCTGGGTGCCTTCTCGGTCGGAGCTTGCCCAGGTGCATGAGGCTGTTCCCACCCCAGCACTGTAGACAGAGGGGCGGAGCGCAGCAGAGATGGACCACTTCAGGATGCTCATGCCTCTCTGGGAGACCCTCAGCGCCGAGTGGACCGTGAACTTCCCAATATGGTGAGAGGTGGGCAGCATCAGCTCCTGATGGAGCTCAGCTAGGAGGCAAGGAGGCTGGGGTCCCTGGCCAAGCTCCCCAGGAGATGGCCATGAGGCCAGCCAGCTGCCCTCACTAACAGGAGCAGCTCTCCACGTGGCCCCCGGGAAGCCCTGGGTCTGGGTGTCCTCCCGCAGGCAGCTCGTGGTTTGCAGCATGTAACTCACCACTGGGTGTCTCCAGTCCCTTCTAGAGGCTGGGTCATCCACGCAGGCCCTGGGGAGGGATGCCCAGCCGTCTTCTCTGGGGGCCTGACTACAGGGATGGGCCCCGCAGTGCCTTCTTCCTCCTGGACACTGCTGCCACCTTATCAGCCTCCAGCAAGCTCTGCCCCTAGGGGAAGCGCCTCCCTCTCCTCCAAGCATCAGCCTTGGGGGTTCTACTGCTCACGGGAGGTCTGAACGGCCTCCAGGAGGACCTGAGCAGTGGAGGTCTGTCCTAAGGCAAGGCTTGCGCGGCAGAGGCAGGGGGCATTTCCTGCTGCAGCCCAGTGTCCCTCCTGGGAAAACTCCGTGGGGCCACTTAGGTGGGAGTGCACTCCTGGGGCCTTCCCCGACTCAGGACCCCCATCCAGGCAGGACCGGACACACAGCCATGCTCACACTGCCCCTACCCCCACCTGGACGCAGGAGTCTGCAGGAGCTTCACAGCTGCCTCCTGGCCTTCAGCACTAGCCTGGCTCAGGAGCTGGGCTTGCTGTCCTTCCTGCTGAGCTACAGGCCACTCAGCTCAGCCCTCTGCAAGACCAGGGCAGAGGACAGAGGAGAATGACTTTAATCAGTCGGTCAGTCTGGGCACTTCCCACTCGCAGGCAGAAAGCTGTTACTCCTTTCCTTACCCACCTGAGGGTCGCAGCTAGCACTCCCGAGTGGACAGCAGAAAAGCATAGCAGAGTGACCCATGGCACAGAGCCTTCCAGAACCATGCCCCAAGACTGAGGAGTCGTCCCTTTCCATGAAGAATGGGCAGCCGTGGGTACAGTGCCTGGAAAGCAGGTGGTGGGGGCAATGGGCAGAGTGGCCTGTGTCCCATGGGGCAGCAGGTCTCTGAGTGAGTCCCAGCGAGTTGGGAGAAGGCTTCCCCATCCTGTGGCTTGCTTCAAGCGGGGTGTTCCAGTGTAGGGCTCCCATCGTGGGGGAGGAGGATGGGAGAAGTGAGAAAGACCAGGCCCCCAGGGCCTCCAGGGCCCCAGGCTCAAGTGCTAGCCCCAGGCTGCAACATCTGGGGGATTCCTGCTCCCAGCCCTGGGTTTATGATTTCACTAAATGTCTTCTTATCTTTGAATTCAGATGGTCTCTCTATGGTTCTGTCCGCACTGCGCAGGGCTACAGTTAGTGGCAGTGCAGAGTGTGTAGGAACTGTTGTTGACGCTGGCCAGAGGCCTGAGAAGGGATAATGCCCAATCTGTGGTAAAAGAGCCCAAGTTCAAGGCAGAGCTGAGCCAAACCCACAACCGGTGTGAGCCTGGCAAGGAGAGGTTCTGTGGCCTGCAGTGTGTTCTCTCTGAACCCCTGTGGCTGACGGGAGCTGGCTCTGCCACAGAGTCTGCACAAGCGGTGCATCCAAATTTCTCCCTTTGCATGGGAAAGAAGGTTCTGAGAAATCGTACAAGTGCACCTTTCAAGGTCTTAAATGCCATCATCCAGAAAATACAGAACGACAAAAAGATTTTATACATATTTTTGTCCAAGGAAATAGCAAAGGAAGAATGATTACCTTTGTCTTTTTATGTAGAAATCCTTGTCTCATTCTCAGTCTGGTAGGAGTTCACCGTGGGTTTCTGCTCCTTGGCTCCTGCACAGGGAACAGGCGGCTACTCTCTCTAGGTCCAGGCCTCGGAGAGTCCCCAGACCCAGGGCCTGTCACCTCCTCAAGCCTTCCTCTTACTGCTCTGCGCTGGACTAGGGTCAGCCACAGGCACGCCAAGCAAGGCAAGACCAGGAGGGTGAAGAGGGGTCGTTCGGAGATGCTGAAGGGGCAGGGCTGGAGGGAGGGAAGCTGAGCTCTGCACGCGTTTTCACGGCAGCAGCCTTACTCATGGCACAAACACATCTGCTTGAAGGCCCTCCCTTGGGGGCGAACCATCCACACCTGGACTTTTCCTCAAGTCCTCACCCTTTGCAATTATCCATGGCGAGATGCAGTTTTGATCCCAGTAAGGGGGCTTCCTGGAGGCCCCAGGGCTGGGACCAGCAGGCAACGCTCACCTGACCTAACTTCTGGCTCCTTGGCACAGGCGGGCAGCAGGCTGAGCATGCTGATGGGCTGCCTGCTCCTGCCCAGACTCCTTCTGGCCCCGTGAATGGACTTAGAGTTGAACTTAGGGCAACAGCACACTCGAATCCCCTGAGGGAGGGAAGTGGCCTGGGAGGGCTCGGTGGTCTCCCTTCAGACGCGCCCAAAGCCCCTGGGGGGCCTGGAGCCACGGAGGGAGGGAGAGATTCATTCTGGGGCCAACCAGCATCCCTAGTCGTTTCCCGCGAGACACCAAGGACAGGAACCTTCGGTGAAGGCTGAGTCCCAGGGAGCAGCACAAGGGGCAGCGAGTGGGCCCCAGGAGAGCCAAAAGGTGGGGAGGCCGGGCTGGGGGGCCGGGGAGTGTCCAGGCCCAGGGCCCAGGCAGGCGTTCCTGAGGGTGGCCAGCGCCCCCAGCCCACCTCTGCTCCTACTGCCGCACTGGGCAGCAAACCCACGGGTCTCACCCCTCCGTGGGCGGGGTCAGCCCTCCTGGTAGAGCCCAGGTGGCCAGCACTCGGGGTGTAGGGAGCCCCTGGACCTGGGTGCAGCCCTGCCTTCGTGCCACAGCGGGGCTGACAGCCTGTCTGGTGGAGCAATGAGGGTGGCCCCATGGTGGAGTGCCTGCCCCACGTGCCCCAGTCGGGCTGCAGCCCTGTCCACTCAGGGGGTAAAATTCCATACAATTTCTGCAAGCCACAAAATGGAACTCTTAAAACGTTATTCCCAGCCACTTAAAATGTGAAACCCACTTGCAGTTAACCACACACCCCGCATCTGCCTTCGGCCAGAGTCGACCAGCGTCTGCCACCCTTGCTTGGGACAACCGGACGGCCCACTACCAGGCTTTCCACAGGCACCGGATGGTCAGCCTGGAGGGCAGGAGGTTCTGGGTAGACTGAGCACAGCTGTGCGAGGAGGCTCAGGCCTGTCCAGTCTGTCCAGTGAGGTCAGTGCTCAGGAGCTGAGAATAGAAGAGTGGTCAGCAGCCCCAGGAGAGGTGGGGAAGGGAGGGAGGGCTGCCAGCAGGAAGTGCCACCGTTAGACAGCGGGTACCCTGGGGCTCTGCTGTACCCCAGGACCACCACACTCTCAGTACCACGTATCCTGTGTTTCAGAATAACTGGGCTCTACCAGGAGGGCTGACCCCGCCCACACAGGGGTGAGACCCGTGGGTTTGCTGCACAGTGCGGCAGTAGGAGCAGAGCCCGGCTGGGGGCGCTGGCCACCCTCTGAGGAGTGACACCCCTGCTCCTTATCCAGATTTGGTCAGTGCCTATTCTGTGTGCACACTGATGCCACGTTGTGCCCCACAAAATGCACAATTACCATGTGTCCATTAAAAGCAAAATAAAATGTCAACCAATCTCTCCACGTGAAAAGGCTGCATATTCTACTACAGGTCAGCACCAGAGCATGCTCAGGTGGCTTCCCCGCCCCACTGATGTCCTCCTCTGCCCCTGCATGTCTTCCTCTCAGCTCCACCCTCCCCACCTCAGATGCAGACAGAGGCTTGTCTGGGGGAATCAGCTTCCCTATCTATGGACAGTGGTAGTGAGTGCAGGACGGCCCTCCTGCCTCCCAGCCACCAGGGTGTCTAACAGATGTGGTCACATCTTTGGAGCATTTAGATTCTGCTTGACAGAAATAGCAATACCTCTTTTCAAATTTGCACTCAGCAGATGAAGCTGTTGGATTTCAAAAACCTGAAAAGGTTAGATTCTTCTCCTGCCACATGATCTACGACTTCATTCTTTCCTAAATAATATGGAATCTTGATTTCAACATATTTAAAATTAAATATAGAATGAAAATGCCTAGGTACCAAAAATTAACTTCAAGAGATTAAGAGCTGAGCAGGGACACCTCTGGTAAGTTTTCAAAACTCACATGCAATCAAGACTGCAAGGAGCCCAGAGTGTGTACCAGGAAGGCCAGGAGGCTTGAGAGGCCAGCGAGAGGAGTCCTCCTTCAGTGCTGCGTCCTTCCTCCAGAGAGCTGAGCCCAATGACAGGGAGCCTTCGCCTGCCTTCAGCACAGGCCTCCAAGCCCACTTTCTGCTCCTAAGAAGCCCGTGTGGCTCCAGACGGCATGTGAGCCTCTGCTCCCTCCCTGTCTTACCGACAGAGGCAATGTCGCCGGGGAAGGAAAGGAACATTCTCTGTGGCCCAACGTCATTATCTCCATCTGAAATTCTCCCCAAACAGATGAACATGAAAGGAGAACACAGTAACAGAGGCTGCTTGACAACGTGAGCTTCTCAAAGGGAGAGCAGAGAAGGCCAGAGCTGACCACGGTGGCACCCTCCTTGCTCCCTCAGCTCTGTACCTAGAAACAGTGTGTGTTTGATCCACACAAGTAGTCCATGCTCAAGAACAATGCAGAAGTCCCCAACAGGACAACGGCAAACCAATCCACCTGATTATGGATCTCCAAAATGAAGAAATATCAGAGGAAGCAGGCCGTTCTGCACATTTCTGATCCACGCTTCTCTACCACAGGCCGCTGCAGGTGGGCTTCTAAAGACAATGGGCCTGGAGATTTGCCCTGCAGACCTCACAGCTGTTTATGTATTTTCATATAATTAGCAGATATCTTATCCAAACACTCAAGGGAAAAACTTAAGTAGAGGTTTGTCTGGCAGAATTCACCTGTATTGTTACTCCCTTTGCTGCATTCACCCAGCCACTCACCAGAAATGTGTGAAGTGTTTTCCATATAATGAGCCCTCTCCTCAGGGAAAGCAGCCAAGCTGCTGATGAAGGTGATGATGATGATGATGATGGTGCTGACGGGATGGTATGATGATGGTGATTATGGTGCTGATGGTGATGGTGCTGATGCAGATGGTGGTAATGATGGTGGTGATGATGGTGATGATGGTGATGAGGGTGATGAGGGTGATGGTGATGGTGATAGTGATGATGGTGATGGTGATGATGGTGGTGGTGATGGTGATGGTGATGATGGTGATGAGGGTGATGCTGATGGTGATGGTGATGATTATACTGGTGACGGTGATGATGCTGATGGTGATGCTGGTGGTGATGCTGATAGTGATGAGGATGGTGACACTGATGGTGGTGCTGATGGTGATGGTGATGCTGGTGGTGGTGCTAATAGTGATGGGGATGGTGACACTGATGGTGATGCTGATAGTGATGGTGATGGTTATGATGGTGATGGTGATGATTGTGATGGTGATGACGGTGCTGATGGGGGTGCTGATGGTGATGGTGCTGATGATGGCGATGGTAATGTTGATGTTGATAGTGCTGATGATGGTGATGGTGATGATGGTAATGATGGTGGTAGTGATGATGATATTGGAGGTGGTGATATGGTGATGGTGATGATGGTAGAAATAATGGTCGTGGTGGTAATGATAATGGTGACAATGATGGAGGTGGTGATGATGATAGCTACTCATTCTAAATACTCATGATATACCAATCCCTAAACTAAGTAATTTAGCTTTATTTTCTTATTTAAGCTTTTCTGTACCAATACTGTTATCTTCATTTTATATATGAAGAAACTGAGACACGAAATGTATGAGAGGGTTGAACTACTGGAGGGTGGTAGACCTGGGATTTGAATTTGAGCCTTTTGTTCCACAGTCTATTCTCATCTGTAAATGCATGATAGAAAGATGCAGATCACATGACCTCTGCATGTTTGGGAAACTTGAGAGTTAAATGCAATAACGAGGAATTCCAGATACATCATGCTGAATGGGATCATAGACATTATCTTGTCAAACTCCTTTACAGAAAGCAGCTGAAACCCAGCTGGACAGAAGACCCAGGTACCCAAGTGGCATGCAGAAGCATGTTATTCCTGGTGCTACCACTAAAGTTTTCATCCCCTTTTATCTGGCCTGCTAAAAGAGCATCAGACTATGTCCCTCCACATCCAGTTTCTTATGGTTCCTTTGTCTATAATCACTGAATTCTGAACTGCAGATCCACTAATATTGAACTACTCAAACTCATTTAAATGATTTTATTTTCCTTCATCCTGAAGGGCTAGATCTATCTTATCAAGCACCAATCTACTTCCAGTTCCAATTCTCACCTTTGCTCCAAGTGCTCCAGCATCCATCCCTCCAGTTCCTCTCTGTGAGCCCCAGGATGCTCTTCCCTCTTTCTGCAGCATCTTCTCCTCTCCTAGCTTGCGGACCTGCTCGTCCCTACAGCTCAAATGTCCTTATCCTCCAAAACTGGGGATGCCCTCTGTGTGGTTCCCTGACATCTCCTTCACACTTGATGTCAGAGATAATGACGCACCTTTTCTTTCCAGCCCTCTATAGACAAAGGGATGAAGCACAGTGGATCCCCAACACAAACTTGTTGAATGAGGATAAACTGAGAACACTGCGGTTTCTCAATCTTCAAGTCAGTTTTTGGCACAGAAGACTTCATTTGGTCTTTCGGTTCTTAGGATCTGCTGTAGTGCAATGGCTGCAGGGGCTCTGCTGCATACAAGGGTTACAGTGGCCGAGAGAGACGAGGAGGACCAAAGCCCAGAGGTGAGTGCTAGGAAAGCGGTAGACAAGAGGTAAGCAGAGAAACCAGGAAGACCACCGCAAGAGGGTCAAGAACCTTCCCTGCTCTTGAGACTGCAGGGACTCAGAGGCGAGATGGCAGGCCCTGTGAGGAGCCGGGGAAGGGCCTTCCAGACAGCACCAACAGATGGCCACAGAGGTGTGAGCTCGGGCAGGGAGGCGGCAGATCACTGTCCGGGAGGGGCTCTGGAGGCCAACACGGGGGCTGGAATTTCTTCTAAAAGAAATGGAAAGCCATAGAGGGACCTTGGCCAGAAGTGAACATGGAAGATGGGTTGAAGGCGTGGGGAAGGCAAGGAGCTCCAGCAGGAAGCCCTTGCACAGGCCTGGGGAGCTGAGGGTAAAGTGGAGATGAGAGGCAGAAGGACAGGCTGACCTGTCACAGGGGAGGGACTGGCCTGGCCTCAGGATGCGTTGGATGCAGGAGCAGAGAGGAGGCGCTAAGCGTGCTGACACTGGACAGAGCACATGGAGTGCATTAGGAGGGGTCTGGGGAGTGTCCAGTTGGACATGCTGGACGATAGTAAGGACGGGCACTGGAGCTCTGTGCAAGACAGCGGTGACAGCTAATAATCACTGGGCTTGCTCACCCGGATTGCACACCACCTCGTTTAATCCCAGTGCCACCCCCTGAGTAGCTGCAGTGAGATTGTCTCAGGTGGGGAAAGGGAGGCACAGAAGGTCCGTTCATCTCCCCAGGAGCTCACATTTATAAGCAGCAGACTCAAGGTTCAGGTGCAGGTGCTACTCCAGAGCCTTACCTTTTAATCTCTGTACCATATAATTAATGATCTGGTTCCAGGAAAGCCATTAAATCCTACTCATTTCCAAATAAACCCAGCAGGAAGCGAGCACAGCCCTCCACACACCATGTGACAGGACTCCCTGAAGCAGTCTTAACCCCTGATGATTCTGTGGCTGCAGTAAGGCCATTTTCTTATCATGGTGTCACTACAGGGCCCCAGTATGTTCTGCCACCAAAGCAAACACTCTGATAAACCCCGCTTCTGCGCGGGATGCATTGCTGAGTAGTGACCACCCTGGAGAGTTACCTGGGGCTGTCACTCAGAGGGGGTCGAGGGGTGGGGAGGCAGTAACACCCTGGGTGAAGAATGCAGGGGCAGAGTGCCGGAGGGTGTCAGCCTGAGGAGCTGAGACCTGAGGGGGGGGGGGAACCACCCTGAGGAGAGAAGGGACTTACAGGGCCCCTGGAGACAGCAGCAGCCCGGGCCTTTCTACAGGGTGGGATTTCAAAGCCTCCAAGGAGCAGGTCCCAGTCGGCTCTCCCTGCTCCTGTCTGTGCTCCGCCCAGCCCCGTCCTGCTCTCAGATCACTCCCCCTGGGCAAACTATCAATCACTGTCACTTAAAACGCTCCCACCTATGAGGTGGTGACAGGCCATCCAGAGCCACGTCAGGTTCCAGATTCTGTCCAGCCTCAGACCAGAGTCTGCCTCCACCCCAGGTTCCCGAAGTGCTTCTCAGATACTTAGCCCAGTGCTTCTGGAGGGGGCCTCCCTGCCTGCGGCAGCACCAAGTCCTCCAGGGCTGCCTGGCCCCACCCTTCTCCACTGCCTTCAGCCCTGGGGGCCTCCACTGACTCCCTCAGGCTCAGATCTACTCAGCTCACCCATCGCCAGACTGAGCCTCCACCTTCTTCAAGCTCCTGCTATCCCCCCGCCTGCCACCACTCGGGGCATCTGAGCACCTTCCTTGGGCGCTGTCCACAGAGGGCCTGCATCTGCAGCCCGTGTCTCAGGGCTGGATGGCTCCCGCCTTCCGTCTTCACTGAGCTCCTGCTGGATGATGTCTTGGGGCTGATGCCTTAGTTCTGTCCTGAGCCAGGTCAGATCCACTCTTCAGCCCATGCATTGAATTCTTGATTTAAACCATACTTCAATTCCATGGACTCTGATTGATTTGATTCTGTTTTAAATGTACTTGTTCTCCACTTATAATTTTATGCTATTTTTATGTCTTAAAATACATAATTCATACTTCCTCTTTTTTGTTTCTTTTGTACTAGGGGTTGAACTCAGGGTCACTTTACCACTGAGCCACATCCCCAGCCTTTTAAACATTTATTTTAGAAACAGGGTTTCACTGAGTTGCTTAGGACCTTGCTAAGTTGCTGAGGCTTGCCTTGAAATCACATCCTTCTGTCTCAGCCTCCCATGGGATTACATGCATGGACCACCGCACCTGGATCTAATTAATACTTCTTTTACTGGTCGAGTATTAATTCCAAAAATGAGCAGACTCTCTCCTGGAGCATAAGGAGCTGCTCAGTCACCTTAGTCACCACACCTGGAGGGTCAGGAGCTACTGGGTAACCCTGGTCTTTTTACCTGGAAAAACTAGGAGCTGTAGGGTCACCACCATCTCCACAGCTGGCAGGGTTACAAGTCACTTTGTCACCCTGGTCTCCACACTGGGGAGGGCCAGTAACTGCTGGGTCACCTGGTCTCCACACCTGGAGGGTCAGGAGCTGCTAGGTCACCTGGTCTTCACACCTGGAGGGTCAGGAGCTGCTGGGTCACCTGGTCTCCACACCTGGAGGGTCAGGAGCTGCTGGGTCACCTGGTCTCCACACCTGGGAGGGTCAGGAACTGCTGGGTCACCTGGTCTCCACACCTGGGAGGGCCAGGAACTGCTGGGTCACATGGTCTCCACACCTGGGAGGGCCAGTAACTGCTGGGTCACATGGTCTCCACACCTGGAGGGTCAGGAGCTGCTGGGTCACATGGTCTCCACACCTGGAGGTCCAGGAGCTGCTGGGTCACATGGTCTCCACACCTGGAGGGTCAGGAGCTGCTGGGTCACATGGTCTCCACACCTGGAGGGTCAGGAGCTGCTAGGTCACCTGGTCTCCACACCTGGAGGTCCAGGAGCTGCTGGGTCACCTGGTCTCCACACCTGGAGGGTCGGAGCTGCTGGGTCACCTGGTCTCCACACCTGGAGGGTCAGGAGCTGCTGGGTCACCTGGTCTCCACACCTGGGAGGTCCAGGAGCTGCTGGGTCACCTGGTCTTCACACCTGGGAGGTCCAGGAGCTGCTGGGTCACCTGGTCTCCACACCTGGAGGGTCAGGAGCTGCTGGGTCACATGGTCTCCACACCTGGAGGGTCAGTAGCTGATGGGTCACATGGTCTCCACACCTGAAGGGTCAGGAGCTGCTGGGTCACCTGGTCTTCACACCTAAGAGGGGCAGGAGCTGCTGGGTCGTCTGGTCTCCACACCTAAGAGGGCCAGGAGCTGCTGGGTCACCTGGTCCACCTCTGGCTGAGAGCAGAGTCCAGCTTTGTTTAGAAGGGTGCATCAGGTCAGGCAAGCCCTGGCTGTTCCCACTCCTGTAAGACTCACAAGCTGTGCTCAAGTCACCTGGAAGGGCACAGTCTGCTGTCCCGTGTACCTGTGAGCCTGCCTTCCTCTCTGAGGTGTAGATCCCCTGCTCAGGGACAGGGTCCTGTGCTCTCTCCAGTCGGCCTTCTCAGTAGTTTTGGACAGCAGCTGAGTCCAGGCAGGGTACCCCAGGCCTGCCCTTCAGCGCCCCCTACCCAGTGTGGGGTTATTTATAAAATAAAGAGATGTATTTATTATTTTAATGAGCCTCAAAAGAGAGGGGACAGTGTGAGGGTTAAGGATGCAGAGCCTAGCCTCTGCCACAGCTGGCTTCACATCCTGCTCTGCTTGTGAGGGGCAGGTGGGAGCAGAGTTGCTTCACCTCCGAGTCCCAGCAGGTGGAGACCCACAGCAGGTGGAGGGCTGTGTTCCTGTGACTGAGTGTGTCCACCACTTCCTTTGGCCTTAGGCACTGAGCCTTTCCTGTAGAAGAAAGAGACGCCAAGAGGAGAAGTTACAGAGCCACCCAGGGTCCAGGCCAGGGTGGCTGTGTGCCTCCTCCCTGCTGAGGGTCTGGAACTTGGCAGGTGTCCTGACTAGAGATGAGAAAGGTGGGAGCCGTCCTTCTTGGGAAGGAAAGGTCAAAAACAAACAATAAACAAAGGACACAGCCTCCGTCCCGGGAGCCAGCTCCAGATTGTTTCTGGAGCTCATGTCCCAGATCCAGCAGAGCAAGCCTGTCCACACTGGAAGGAAGGGCCACTGGCCGCTGCACTCCTGCTGGGGACACAGGCAGGACCCTGGGGCTGGGCAGCCCTGCAAAGCCCTTCCAGCAGAGGTCTCCAGACCCTGAGGAAATGGCGTCCTCCACCCACAGCACTGCCACTGACAGGCAGGCTCTATTTCCCCAAAATGCTTCCAGGAAACTCCACAGACGTAGTGAATTTAGTTAATAAAGAATTTAGTACATAAAGACAAAGGTTTGTGAAGAGTAAATCGGATGTTTCAGTTGGAACCAACACCTTCCTACGGTTGTGCAGGGCTCATCTTGTACCTCTGCAGGGCCTTGGATGTAATTAGAAACCAGTGTACCTCAAAGCTAGTGGAGGCCCATAATCTTCAAAGACAAAACTCCTATTATTCAGATATTTGCCTTTTGAAATAAACTTAATAACTTATTTGGAGATCTAGAAATAAAAGATACGTTTTGTGTCATCACACAAAAACCTGAAAAGCTGTGGGGTTCAGGCAGAGACCCTCAGAGGTGCACTCAGGCAGCCAGGCACCCAGGCAGCCAGGCACCCAGGCACCCAGGCAGCCACAGCAGTCACAGCACCCAGGCACCCAGGCAGCCAGGCAGCCAAGGCAATCACAGCACCCAGGCAGCCAGGCAGCCAAGGCAATCACAGCACCCAGGCAGCCAGGCAGCCAAGCACCCAGGCACCCAGGCAGCCACGGCAATCACAGCACCCAGGCAGCCACGGCAATCACAGCACCCAGGCAGACAGGCAGCCACAGCAGCCACAGCAGCCACAGCAGCCAGGCCCCAGGCACCAGGCAGCTCTGCCCCTTCTCCTCACACTCTTGAGCAGGTGCTCATGACCCAGGCACTCAGCTCCCTCCCATGGACACTGTGGCCTGACACCAAGAGACCCTGAACACACAGGACAAGGTTGTCCCTTCTCTTGGTTGCCAACAGTGACAGTCACAAGTGACTAAGAAGGAAAAGAGAGAAGCAGCCACAAATCAGAAGAGTCCCCTTATCGTAGTAAGGACCCTGGACATGTGTGTCTGTTCTGGAAGGTAGCTGCTGCAGTTGGTGCGGTGACACCAACAGAAGGCAGAGTGTGCCAGTCTGCACTGAGGCCCGGGTCTGGGCAGGAGTCCAGGTGGCAATGCCTTTTTTATTTTTAATTTTTTTAGTGGCCAATGGATCTTTATTTTATTTATTTATTTTTTATGTGGTGCTGAGGATTGAACCCAGTGCCTCACACATGCCTCACACATGCTGGGCAAGTGCTCTACGGCTGAGCCACAACCCCAGCCCCAGGTGGCAATGCCTTTTAAAGAGCAGGAGCCCTGCCGCCTGCTCGCTGAGATCAAGACCCCGCCCAGTGTAGCAATGGCTCTGTTCAGGAAGCAGGCCTGAGCCATCAGGATCCTGGTTGGTTACTGGGCATCAGGGGCCTTTGGGCAGGTCTCTGTTCTACACTATAAAATAAAGAGATGTATTTATTATTTTAATGAGCCTCAAAAGAGAGGGGACAGTGTGAGGGTTAAGGATGCAGAGCCTAGCCTCTGCCACAGCTGGCTTCACATCCTGCTCTGCTTGTGAGGGGCAGGTGGGAGCAGAGTTGCTTCACCTCCGAGTCCCAGGCTTCTCTTCTGTAGAGCAGAGATGGTCGACTGTGACCCAGCCCAGCGGTGGGGGTCAAGCAAGGACAGTGTGTGTATGACAAACAGACGTGGCTGCACGAAGGGCAGTTAGTGCAGAAGCAGTTATGCATCATTAACACTTGGTTCTCATTAGCCAGGGTAATGTGACCCATGCAATAGAGCAGACTGGAATGAGTACATTTGCTTAATTTTCAGCTACTAAGTGCCTCTAGCAAGGTTTTCTGTGGGAAGGAGAGCTGTCCACATTCCTCAACATCTCACGCCACGTCAGCGGCACCACAGAGCTTTGCTTCTCCTAGGGAATTAAGGTGAATTTCACATCAACCCCGATAGCTTACCTCTGTGTCTACTGTCAGATGCAAAACCATGCCTCAAAATCATCAGCTATGCCGACATGGGTTCAGTATGTAGATTTTACAATTCAACAAATCAAATAAAGGAGAAGTGTTGAAATGAAATAAGTGGAGACATTTGAACATTAGATATTAAAAAGAAGACCACTGTTATAGCAAATAATACCCTGAGCAACACAGGAATAGGAAATTGGGATAAAAAAGAGAGGGACTACCCTTCCCCCTTTCACCCAGCAGTGAGTGAAGGGTCAGGTAAAGGCAGGGCATTTTGAGCATTAGGTACAAGTAAAATGAGGGCTCTTGTGATGGCCTCTGTGAGCCATGGTAGCCCTTCACAAACCCTGACCATGACTGGACAAATAAGGCGACTTGGTAGAGAAAACAAATAACACACACACCCATGGGAAATAACACACTTCCAATCATGGGAAGACACGCAAGAGGAACACAGGCAAGAGAGGCTACAGACTTGCTGTGGGTCTGTTGTGGGCCTGGAGAGAGCCTTCTGTGGGCCAGTGTAGGCCTGGTGAGGACCTGGTGAGGGCCTGGTGAGGGCCTGCTGTGGGCCTGGTGAGGGCCTGGTGAGGGCCTGGTGAGGGCCTGCTATGGGCCTGCTGTGGGCCTGGAGAGAGCCTTCTGTGGGCCAGTGTAGGCCTGGTGAGGGCCTGGTGAGGGCCTGGTGAGGGCCTGCTGTGGGCCTGGAGAGAGCCTTCTGTGGGCCAGTGTGGGCCTGCTGTGGGGCAGCTGTGGGCCAGCGAGGGCCTGGTGAGGGCCTGGTGTGGGCCTGGTGAGGGCCTGGTGAGGGCCTGCTGTGGGCCTGGTGTGGGCCTGGTGTGGGCCTGGTGAGGGCCTGCTGTGGGCCTGCTGTGGGCCTGGTGTGGGCCTGGTGTGGGCCTGGTGTGGGCCTGGTGAGGGCCTGGTGAGGGCCTGGTGTGGGCCTGGTGAGGTCCGCTGTGAGCCCGGCTGGGACTTGCATTAGGTTGCGACAGCCTGCTGTGGGCCAGCTGTAGGCCTGATGAGGGCCAGCAATGGGCCTGGTGAGGGCCTGGTATGGCTCTGGTGAGGGCTTGGTAAGCGTCTGCTGTGGGCCTGGTCAGGGTCTAGTGAGGGCCTGGTGAGGGCCTGGTGTGGGCTTGCTGGGAGCCTTGTGGCATCCTGCTGTGGGCCTGGAGATGGTGAGGACCTGCTGTGGGGGCCGGCTTTGGGCCTGGTAGGGCCTGTTGTGGGCTTAGGGTGGGCCTGCTGTATCTCTCCTGGCACAGAGGGAGGGCGATACTGTGGTCTGGTGGGAGGCACAGAAATGGGGGCAAGCAAGGTATCCAAATTCTGTTTCTGCCTCTTTACTCTTTGGGTGGAAATTGCATAAAGCCAACTAGAATTAACTTGGGCAAAGGGAAAGAGATATCTATTGATCCAGGAGACCAAACTGGAGGAAAGATAAAGCAGTGGACTTCACGGCAACCAGACCGGGTCTTGTTTCCAGTCCCACTCCTCCACCTGGCTCCACCTGAACATCCGCTTCCTTTTCTTGGACCGAATCTTTCAATGTGTCCATGACTATTCCCACGGCCTCTGGTTTCCACATGAACAGCTTCCTAGCCAATGAAGAAGTTTGCCCAAATGGCCTCCCTTGCCTTCTGCCATCCTTCATCCAAGAGAAATAAAAAATACATATATCTAAAAGAAAAGTCCCTCATTATTCAGGTCCCCTTGTAGTCCAGTCCTGGTCAGGGGGACTGCCTTGATAAGTGCATGCTCACTGGGTAGCCACTCCAAGGTCACTTTCTGTGGCCCAGGAGATAGAGGTCACATCAGATGAGAGTTTTCTAATCAGACCAAGCATGGAAAAGTGGGATTGAAGGAGCTTCCCATGAGCGGGCAGCTGGTGTCGATGGGCCCAGGGGTAGGCATGGTCCACCTGCAGCCCCTGGCCCCAGGAGAAAGCATGACCTCCAGAGCAGACATGGCCCCAAAAGTAGGCATGGCCCAGCTGTAGACATGGCCCCAGGGGTAGGCATGGTCTCCAGAGCAGACATGGCCCCAAAGGAAGGCATGGCCCCAGGGGTAGGCATGGCCCCAGGAGCAGACATAGCCCCAGGGGCAGGCATGGCCCAACTATAGACCTGGCCCCAGGGGCAGGCATGGCCCCAAGGCTAGGCACTGCTAGGGAAGGACTAAAATCACTGAATACAACACCCTGACGCTAAGCGGAAGCAAATTTATTGTCAGGAAATCTGACAGGCTGCCTCTGTGCAGAGAGAATAGCAGCAGAACTCCTCTGAATTAAAGTTTTCTAAGTCAGAGCCTGGGTTGTGCACTGGGGAGGGCTTCCGCTTGCTATTGCAGGTGGAGAGCAAGCTTCAAAACTGCAAGAACCACAA